TTTTTTCGGACTGCGTACTATATACTGTTGGAAAAAAATATAGTTTGCAAAAATACTATATTTCTTGTATTATAAATATTAATATATTTCAGTAATTTGCAAAAGAAATGTATATTCTTTAAAATAAAAGGTCATACTGAGTTTATTAATAGAACCACAGATAAAATATTGCAACATTTTTTAAAATACTTAGAATGAATTACCAAATTTACTTAAAATTATTTCGTTCCTACTCTCTATTCCTGCAACTTCGGCATTCACATAAAGAGTTTTTTTTTATTATGAATGTCAAAGGCGATATGAGAGAACCAAAGCGACTACCTCACTAATAAAAATTAACTTTTGATTTATAATAGTTTTAATATTGATTACGTTAAAGCATATGATACTTTCAAAGAAATATAAAGAGGAAATGCATAAGAAAGAAAAAAGATGTACACGTAAAAAGCGTTTTAATATTTTCTTTTAAATATAATACTATATTTATTTGAAGTGTACTATATGTTTTCAGATTTTTTTGAAAAAGTACTATAAATTTCTTAGAAAATGGTGGCAACCCTACTTAGACTATTACGTAGAAAAATTAAAAAAAATTATTATCCTTCAGAATGCACTCTCGAATGATGCTATAAGATTTTTCCTTCAAGAGGTACGGCCATTTAAACTGCCGTGTCCTCGATTTATTTTTTTTTTTTTTTTTAACAAAATCTGAGGTTTTTCCTAGATGAATTTATATAAGGTGGTGTTGTTTCATCAGTTGTGAGTAGCGTTTGATTGTAAAAATTTTGTTTTTCGTTAGTGAGTGAGGGAAAACGTGAGAGTGTTTGTTTTTTCTGTCGCTCTTTTTCATTTGGGAAGGATAGCTGAAATTTGACAATGGCCCGATAGAATCAAAAACAAAATACAAGTAATTGTTTTATTTGTTGCATCGATACCACCTTGTATGAATTCGCCTTGGGTGTTCCTCTATAATGGCATATATGTATGTAGATGACAAAGTGGACCTACTATCTTTAAGCTTAGAAAATTAAAGTTTTGTACTGGGTGAAGCGTTGCGGACTGCCACACGACCGATTGGTAGTGGTATACATACTTGTATAGAGAGATACATTAACGCTCTCTGCATTTAACAGTCATTACGTGAATACTCGCATTTCGTTGACGTTTAACTTTGCGGAATAATTTCGAATTTTATAATTGGGGCATTCACAACGGTGTCATAAATGTCGTATTGTCGTATGCCGTAAACTTAAAGCTCCTAAAAATATATAATGGCGGTTCTCAAGGTATCATAAAAGTCCTTTTATGAATTTTCAGTGTTTGAAAATAGTTGGTTGTGGTTTCAACTTTTAAAGTTTACGGCATACAACAATACGACACTTACGCCATCGGTGTGAATACCCTAAATTATTATTATTATTATTATTATTATTACAATTATTATTGTTATTATTATTATATACATATGTATATAACGTTTTGACGATAATAGTTGCAAGGTGTAAAATGTCTTTGAGTTCTTTATAAGTGCCTTTTTATGATAGATGTAAATAGATATGTCCATATCGTCGCTTGGCGAGCAATACCTCGTATGCGCCAAATGTGGTATTACACGTTGTCTGTATAGGATAGTCCGAAAATTTCGCAAAAGAGCGAAGAAACTTATTTACTTCAAAACGTTTGAATGGTTTGCTAACTAAACTTACTAAATATGCTGATTATTTACTATTAAATTTGTGAAGTAAGGATGCATTGAGGCAGGGTAACCAAAATAATGATCTGATTATGGCAAATTAACGTAACTTACAGGCTCTAACTTAAAAGTTATCTAAATGGATGTTGCTTATAATTGAGCAGCCGAAACTTAACGTAACATAATGCCACGTCGGAATCTGTTTCATTTTGATTTTCTAAGTTATAAGTTCCGTTAAGTTAAGTTGTTATAATCAGACTTTAAATTTTCCTCTATGCCACCTCATACGTAGTATTGCATTTGGCAGATACGATACGGAAGATACATGCATGTATCTGAATTAAGAAATTTTTAATTAAAATATTACAAGTTAAATAAAAAACCCATGCTGATTGTAGCACTTTATAACGTAAAACAAAAAACAATGACAACGAATTTTCAGATCAAGAAATGATAAGGGAAATGGGAGTCAATTACAGCTGTACATATGTACATACATACATACCTACATAAAATATTAATATCAACCACCACTCATCGTCAGAAAAAGGTACGATTGTACCCAATTTTCCAAAACTGGTATGAAGTGCCACAAACAAGCACAACAAAACAAAAGTGGAATTTACCGAAAATGCTTTCGCTTTCCATGGGGAGTGAGATATCCAACTGATAGGTGCTTCGTGTACAGAGCGAAAAAACTCTCAAAAAACGTTATCTATACTATGTTTATAAACGCTTTACTGTTCGCTTGCGCGGCAAACTGTATACGCATGTATGACCTTCGGACAAGGTGACCGATGAAATGTTTGCTTTCTAAGAGAGTTGAACAGTTCAACTTGAACTGCTGCATACCGCTATGCCTGAGAGCGGCGTCTGAACTCTATTTGTGGGCGGGTGGAATAATTATTTGCCTGGTTGACAATTAGGTTTATAAGGTCATCTTTTACCGTATTGGACATGATGCTAAACAAGTTTTGGTTTTCACAATTATTCAACAGATTTTACTAGCCGCTTATCAGTATAATATGCATTGTATATATGTATATATATATAATATGTAAGAGAGAAGTAAGAGCACAGTATTCGTTGGTTATGGGAGCATAAACAAATGAAAGAGAGCTCGCTCGATATTTTCTAAAGTAGAGCGCCATGGCAACGAAACGAAACTAATCTTTTGGGGCGAGTGAGCTAACACTAAAGAAAAAATTTTCGTTGAGAAGTACTCCAGAGTTCGTAGCAAACGGTTGTCGTTCGTTGTTATCTGTCGTCGTCCGAAAAAAATAAAAAAGCAGTTGCCGTTCATCTACTGCGGTGCGGTACGGTGTGATGGTAGGGTCAGATTCTTTACCTGCTAAATAAAAAATATAATTAAATATAAATAGGAAACCTTAGTGTACTCTACGGTTATAGTGAAAAAAAAATAAAAATTACAGTATTTAAAGTTAATAAATAAAAAGGAGAAAGCAAATTTTGAAACCATGTCGAGGCCGCAAACAGACGAAGAGCGCCGTAAGCAAATTAGTGTGCGCGGAATTGCCGAGGTTGGCAATGTCACACTGGTCAAGAAAAATTTTAATCGTCATCTCCACTATACGTTGGTGAAAGATCGTAATGTGGCAACGATGCGCGATTACTACTTTGCATTGGCCAACACTGTGCGTGATAACATGGTGGGCCGATGGATACGCACCCAGCAGATGTACTATGAAAAGGATCCAAAAGTAAGTGCTACGAGTGCCTCGGAAAGAGCGGCTATGTGCATACATATCGTCGGTGATACTGCAAAACGTTCTATGCCACTTACTACCTCTGGTGCTTAATTGATCTGTTGTCTGTATCTGATCGCTTCTGGCAACCGTTCATCTTCATCAGCCAAAGGTAGACAGTTTTGTCATTCGTTTATTATGGTGTAAAGATTAACAGATGCATTCCGGTGCGCGTAAGAGACCCTCTAAGTGTCAAGGGTACTAATAGACAAAGACCGTTTTGCAGTATCACCGTCGATATATAAGATTAGGTTTGTATAAAAATCGATACATAACACACTCAAATCTTACAGAATTTAAAGCAACTATTACAACAACATCTTATTTTCATCCCTCAATAAAAAAAACTTAAATCTACTTACATATGTACATATATAAATTTTCTAAATACACTGTAAATAGACAAATATTCTATTGCCATATACCTACATAGATATCGATATATGCAATCATACCGATGAACTTAATACATACGTACATACACGCATATTCAAATAGTAACATAAGCAAGAGGATCTTACCAAGACTCATACTCTGAGTCTCTATTACTACGTTTATGCGGCACAATTCATGATTCTTCACTTCATGAATTGCGTTTATGCATAATTCGCGAATTTATGAAATGAAGTTGCAGCGCACTAGCGAAAAACTAAACAGTAGGGTTGTGGTATTTTCCCCATTTTGTTGAATGTGCAAAAGCCGTTGGTACCAGGAAATCGTCCATGATATGTTATTTAAACTGGTATTAATGCATTTGAATTTCCTCTATTTGAATTTGTTTTATATTTGAACAAATTAAAATTTGATTGAAAATATTGCAACGTTTAGCGGTCAAATGAGCTTAAAGAATAATCCGATATAAAAGAGAAATAGACTTTCACTAGCGTACTCGGCGAGCTTCGTCTCGCCAAAATTAATTTTTTGTTGGAAAATTTTTGGTACAACACCTTCACCAACAATTCTTTTAATGGTTTCCAGTGGCACATTTATCTGCTCTAATTATAGTTTTGTGGTCGTCAGAAGGCATATCTTCCATTGCCATTTTAAATAACCTAACTAAAGCGTTGTGTCCGTGACGAAGTTCTTGCAATGATCTTGCGTCTCATATAACAGTTAATCGCACAACACTGATCAATTTCGATATCAGAGTTGCCAACGAAATAAATTAGTTTCAGTTGTTAAGGAGCTTGTTCCTTCTGAATGTTTCATCATCATTTGATCGGTGAATGGTTTACGAACACTGAAAATCCAATGTCAAAAAATGCTAACTCTCTTCAAAGCAATCGAACCATATTCGCAAAAGAAATATACACGCCAGATATTCTCATTCAGCCTTATCGTGAGTTTCGCCCGATATTTTTTCATCCGCCCGTTGTGAATACACGGAAAGGAAAAGTAACAAGTAATTTTTAGCAGAAAAAAAAACTTAAAATTCTCATATAAATATACATACCGTCGTTTAAAGTGCAAAACCGCGTATCAACAAACCGCGTATGTGAAGTTGTAGAAATTATTTTCTAGAGCGTAAAAATACTCATATTTCAAATCGGTTCTCTTTTTTAAAAAGCAATCGCATTTCTGGATAGTATATTTCAGGACGAATGGATAAGGATTGAGCCAAGAGCTTGTGTGAGCAAATCCAATTTTTGGCAGCCAATTTCAGTTACGCGGTTTAGCAGAATGACGATATGCGGTTTTGTACTTTAAACGACGATATATATATTTCTTGATCCAATGATCGGATCTAAACCGATCTAAGATTAGTATGGGACCACCTCTGAGATACTACCTTTCCGACGCAAAAAGAATTATCGAAATCGTGGTCCAAAGTTATGCGGGTAACATACATAAAAAAAAATATTCCGCCGAACTGATAACCTCCTCCTTTTTTGGTCGGTTAAAAAGTGAACCGGTTCGAGGAAAATGAAACTCATGATAAGCCTGAGTTTGTATTTTTAATCTAATTTCCGTCATACATTTTTCACATCCGGCAACTGCAAATGGAACCGATAATAATTTGCAACGCACTCTAACCTAACCTAACCTACATAATTGATTAGCATTGATACAATTTTGAACCTTGACAACCATTTCAATTGTAATATTACGACCAAAATTAGGGAATTAAAAAAATTTCTAGTACAAAATCTAAGGAAAATAATTTTTTTCCGGAATTGTTTAATCAGAAAATGTTTTCAGTTTTCCTTAAGAAGAAAAATACAACAAAAAGACAGCTCGCGTAGGACAATCCATTCTTAGAGCTATGCACAGTATTACGTAAGCAACATTGTTTTATATATGTATGTATATAGATTAAAATTTTTAAATAGTTGGTAGCCCTATTCAAAAATTTTACTTCTGGTTAAGATTGCATTTAAATGCCTTTCATTCACTGAATGCGTTGTAATATTTTACTCGATACATCTTTAAGTCCCAAAAATTTGAGCCGGTGGCAACCCTATTAAGTTTTTATTTTTACCTAAAGTGGTGAAGCTGACCTTCAACATGATGTTTCAATCATTCAATTTAATGAAGTATTATGGAAGATATTGCCCTTTATTAACCGGATACAGTGCTTTCAGCTTTTTAAAACCTCCGTTTTTAATAAATAACTAAATTTCAACAACGTGACTATTTTTCGCAACAAAAATATAATTGGTAATTTTTTTAATATATCTTTTATTTAATCATCGCAACGCTAATAACGATTTTCAGCAAACTTTTCGATTATGTCCTCCTGAATCATCTCGTGGTCTTCGGTAACGAGTTTGCTATAGATGCTCATGAGGCATCCAAAAGCCTTTCTTCTCCTGTTGTGCTTCTGAGCCAAGTTTTTACTCTTCGAAATGTACTAAACGATCGCTCAACAGGAAAAAAAATTAAAATAGAAATACACTTATTTATCACTGATAGAAATTCGTTTTCTTCTTTAAATCGATCTACAACTTCAACATCCTTCAAATCTTCTTCGGACAAATTCTTTTCCATAAATTGTACCAAAGAATGAGTTCACTGCCCATACCTAGATCATAGATCTGTTGAAAATGCATCGCGTTCTTTTGTACCTTTTCACTGGAACATTTAATCGAATACAATGGGTGCAATATAGACAGCGAAAAAGCTGGAGTATTTACATTGAAAAAGCGTAGTTATAAAGAGGCGGTAATAAACATCGTAGACCGTCGCACAATGGGCCATATGACGACATTAGCCGGGAAAAAATCAAAGTGGAATTTTGATGTTTTGATAATTACAATACAATTTACAATTACATAGAAAAAAATTATCCTTTGGCATTTTAAAGACCACTTTACAGGCTAACCTAATATTCGCGGCTTGCGTTTTGGTACGCATGCCGTCGAATTTGGTTTTTTGCGTCATAGCTGAAATACAATGCCGGCGAACGGCGAACTCACCACAGCGAAATTCGTGCTGTCAAAATTAGAACACCCGCAAGCATATGAAATTGAACACAGCCAAAGCGAAATGCGAAGTTCGCTTGGCGGCGTTTCATGGCGATAGATTTATTTCTATCGCCCTGCTGGGCGATGACAGCTGTGCGTGCCAAAGGTGGCCGTATTTGTTTTTTGCTTTCAAAGTTTTAAAAGAAAACAACCTAAACACGATTTTTTTTTTTGTTTTTTGAAAAATATAGTTGTGGATTCGTTAAATCTGGCTTGAAACAAATTATTTATAATAATCTTTCTTTGTTTTACATTTATATTTGTTATCATTTCCTCATTTCTAAATATGGTTTAGTTTTTTCTAAATATGGTCACCCAAATTATAAAGGCGACCAAATGGGATCAGCTGTTTTCGCTACCGCTCTAATTCTGTTTAAGTAGGCGAAATAGCTAGCATCGCCCAATTCGGCGAAGTTTGCCGTTCGCCGGTATTGTATTTCAAGCATCACCCGAAATTGACTTGCGTTTGCATTTGATTTCATTGAGCGAAACGTCAAATCAAAATGTCACGCAGAACAAAAATTGGAAATTGAGTTAGCTTATACGCACGCCGTTCAATTTCGGTTGATCTCATACCATTGTGGAAGAATACAAGTGAGATATCTTAGGGTTGACAGATAGTTGACAGGGTGTTCAATATGGCGATGACAGTGTGAACAATATGGCAGCCAATATGGCATACAACACCGAATGGCCCGAAGTAGCCAAACTACGACCCGAATGAAACGCTTCGTGAAAATCCAGGGTTGCGAAGTGGTATTTTGTTGGAAAATATAAAAGCCAGGATTTTGTGCAGCGCCGAATTTTAACAAAAGAGGGTTTTGTGTTCTCAAGATGAACAGAAAAGGGTTGCTGTGCTGTTTCGTTTTAAGCTTATTTTAATCTTAAGGTATCTAATTAAATATTAAAAGGAGACAAAAATTAAAGCAAAAATTTAAAATATATGTACATATCTGAAAATTATAAATAAAATATATATTTTCACGAGAGACAAATTAAATAAAATGGGTTAACTTTAGGGGAAATATACTTATCAGATTGGGTCAGATAGCGCTTTTACGTTATAAATAAAAATAATTCCTACTTAAATTTTATATAATTTGGTAACGTATTTCTAAGCTGACTCTGAGATCTGTGAAATAATACATATTTATGTGCATATATTGTGTTGATTATGTTCTAAATCGCTAAATAATTCTTGCAGCAATCAGCACCATTGGAAAGTGAAGTGACAATAGGCTGGTTTTCTTTATACAGCCCGTTTTAATTTCGTATTATTGTTATAATAAATTACAATTATTGTTTGTTTCCATTTCGGTCAACCGCGCAAATTATTTATTAAAAAAATGTCGTTTAAAAATAGCAATTTTGTTTACTTTTGAATAAGACTTTATCGAGTGCGCTGTAAAGACAGGGGGATAAATGCTGTAAAGAAATATATGTTGAGTCCAATCGGTTTTTTGCTAATCCGGTTTTTGTGTAGGTATAAAC